AAGGTAGCAAACACACGTCAAATCCCGAAAAATTAAAGCCATCGCTCTATTGTCACACAAACGCGACTAAAAGCGATTCTTTTACAACGGAGGGGAGATACAATACACCAATATAGCGGAAACAGTGGTCATAAACTACTCCCACTGGTGCCTGTTCGCGGTCGATGGGTAGCCACGAAACCTTTCCCAAAGACGCAGACGACTAGAGTCGACAGATGATCCGAGAACAAATAAATGGAACCGAAAAAGTGCTAAAATATACTCAAAATGCGCATGACACCGCGGACCGTCGGCTACCAGCAGATCTGGAGAAATGAAGGATTCACTCGTTGATGAATATTCACCGACCGCCAACGGAATTCATTTGTTCCCCTCTGCCATGGTTCTCCTTTCTCCGTCCCTGACAGCAGCCGTAGCGGCTAGTAGTCTACGCAGATAGCATTGCAGACAAAGACCAGGGAGACTAGAATGGCCATTTCTGACTTATTAGCCGTCGTCAGCCAGTCATACCCAACCCCAAGTACTGCATCACTCGAGGCTCGAACTCGCGATCTTTTGATCAGAGTCTAACGCCCTAACTAGTAAGCCACTTACTCATTGTCTTGCCGGTTTAGGTCGGGAGATATTGACACTTGTTGATGACCGCTCATTGACCGTTAACGGAACTCGCTTGTGTGTACGCGAAGCCCTATAAGAATGCCTCTATTGATTGGATAACGCAGGTTAATGTAGGTTACGCGCAGATGAAGACCACAGTAGTAGCGTGACAGTAACCAGACACAGCAAACACACAAGGGACAATGTGATAACGAAGGTAATCAGTTATACTAAACCCACCTTTACAGCTGAATATTTATCGTTTGAAGTACGACAGATGAAAACCATTTGCAAACTAACTTGAACAGGCTAAAGGACTGGTCAAAATATGGGCTTACGCCCTTCAATGTTGGTAATTGCAAATAGGCAGTTCCAGAGCCTCGAGCCCGAAGGTTAAATTCTTAAACGGCACACCGCTGTAACAAGTTGACAGTCAGAAGGGCTTGGACGTGTTGATTACTTCTTCATTCAAACCAACACTATACTGTGCGAAGGCGGCGAAGTTGGCCAGATCTATATTTCAACTGATTAGGCGAGCCTATTTGTGGTTTGAAAAAGAAAGCTTTTCCAAAATATTTGGAAGTTTCATTCGCCACACAGACATGGGTACCTTGGACTGTCAAAGACTGCACCGCCTTAGAGAAGGTCCATAGGCGGGCGGTCGAGGAACACTGCCCTATGAAAACACTGTCGACTCACAAACTAATTCCCCTATCCCCTATCGTGCCAGGGGAATTAATATAAACCTCCCGCATTATGAATGGCCTTGATTTTTGTTTTTTCCCCGATGATTTTATTACCAGGCTAACACGTCCACATGGCGCGGTGATTCCCTTAAACCACGTCAAGGGAAAACAAGGGCCGATGGACGCAATTTTTTCTTCAGTAATAGACTGTTTGCGATGAGGAACGCTCTCTCCACCTGTGTGAATACATTTAAGAGCAAACTGGACATGCATCAAATATCTCATTCACCAGTTCCACAATGTAAACTCACAACGAGCCATCGGTGCCTGGAACGGACTGCCCGAGGACGTCGTAGTGGCGAACTCCACAGATGC